GTAAGAACCAATACATAATTTACAAAATTTTTAATAGATTTCCCTTCTGTGTCACATATTTCATTTAGTGAAAGAAACTCTAAACTATCTAATCTTGTGATGCTTATTTTCTATCTTATCTTAATTTTTGGCTGGTCTATGTTTAGCAAACCGTAAATCTCGTAAAAACTTACTTCCTTTTCATCATCATGAAGTACATGATAAAGCAACCCCCAATTAGTATGAAATTTTTTAAATGGCTTCCTATCCATTACTTCATTATCAAAAGAGTACTCTGTAGTCAATAGGTCTCGTAATATTTTAGCAACAGTTTTTTGTATCATCATTTACGTTGTTTTTGCTAAACATGCAAAAATACTGGAGGCTAACTGGTAATAAAATTGGGATGATATTGAAAGTTTCATTATTATCAGTAAGTGAATTAATATAAATTCCGGAGAAAATGAGATCTCTCAAAGTTAATGTTCCCAAATTAGTTTCTATTTCACATATCAATGATGTTATTTTTCCTAATAGCGCTATCTTAACTATAGAAAAAGAGATTCTACCAAACAGTAGGTCAAGATTTTTTGCCAAATATTCAATAAGAGAACTGTAAATGTCAGTATTCAAGGTTATATTATCATGTAAAAGTTGATAAAATTTCTCAAAAGTTCTCAGATAGCCATTACAATCTGCAATACATTTTTTAATGATGAATAATCTATAGTTACTTAAACTTTTTGTGATTTTATAAAATAATTCTACTGACTCGGAAAGAGCAAGTCTTCTTAATAGTATCCAATTAATAGATCTTTGCAAGTCAGTTTAAGTCTTCCACATATTAATTGTGTTAAGTGTAAACACAATCAAATAGAATTTGCTTTCTGAGGCTGACAAGGCATGATAAGGTTTGTAGAGTTCATATAGTAGTATTTTAATACTTTTAAGATTTGTATTGTTATCTGATAAAATTCTCATAGTCTCATCAATACATAGAAGTACTGATTTTCTCGAATAATATATAATGCTTTTAATAGCTATTGAAGTATCCAATGAATCGAAATGATTTCTAAATTTTTTGCAAAAAGCATCCTAGTCTAACTTATTCCTATCGAAAAAGTAACTCTACAAGATGCGCATGACTAATCCTCTTCAAAGATCTCTATCTATATCATAACCATATGGTGAACTTCTATTATATGTGATACAAATTCTGACCAAGTTATACAGTAAATTTACAATATCCTTAGTATACTGTTGCTTTTTGCCACTTCCTTGCTTCTTTTCCAAATCAGAAAGTTTTATTTTTAAATAACGATCAAGATCTTCACTTTTTAAAGAAGCCAACTCATCAAGAAGAAGGATTTTTCTCTTCTAGGTGTAGATTGAAGTACAAGAAGAGGATATAATTTTTTATCGCCAATACCTCTATTTTCACTTAATTGTTTTCTAATTTTACAATACCGATCAAAAATATAATTGTATGTTCGAAGTATTGTATCATCTTTACCCTTTCTTTCAAATTTAAATTCATTCATGCATAGCTCATGAGGTTTTGCAAAATTATTCTTGATTCCTTCTTGTTTTTCAAGAAATTCTGCTATGGATTTAGGACTAAGATCTTTTAGATTTGTATAAAAACAACAAGAAAGTATTAATATAACACATTAATATCTATAACTAGAAAATGGCATGATATTTATCATAAACTACAACAATTCATGCAATGCAATAGATACGTATCTATTAATTTCTTTTTTTCTCTGTCTGAACATTCATTTTTCTTATCCGAACTTTTCGTTTTTTTTTCTAATCGAGTAAAAAAAAAAAGATAACTACAAATTTCTTGTTCTAGAGGTAAAATATCGGGAAACACTTACTGATAATGGGTGGTTGTATTATGATTTGGATGTTTTTACTAAATAATCTGTAAAAATGTTGGTTTATAGTATCAGATGGAGGCACATGTCTCCAAGTTCTTGTGCTATATTAATATTGGCATGTATTTTTGTTTCTAGGTTTTTGCTACTGATATAAATACTATTAACTTTTCAAAACATGATGTTATTGGCATCAATATTTCCAAAATCATTCATTTTCTTCTCCTTTATTAGCTCCTTGAGATGTGATATGGTCTGATCTTCTTTAATATTGACTACGAAAGCATTTTTGACTGCGTTATCTAGAACGAGACAAAATATCATAATTTCGGTATAGGGTATAATTATTTAGTTATTGTTAGTGATAGGCAATTAGCTGTTTTTCTAAAAATCCTGCAAGACTATGCGTGTGATCCATATGTTTTTTTTATATTTTGAAATTTGGTGGAAATGGGCAAAAATTTTACCTCGACCTCAGAATATTTTGGAATCTGGTTAGATTTCCAAGAGTAACCGTTCTAGTTACACAAATTACAAAAATCTCTGAAGAGGTGATAACCAATCAAAATCGTAGATTTTTGAAATAAAAAAAATCGTAAAAATTGTAAAAAAATATATTGAAAATGAAGTGAAATAAAATTAATTAAAGACTATACATTA